CTTATATGACTACTTGAATAAATATGCTCGACCCGACCAAAGGAATAGGAAAAGTAAGACATATACAATCGAAAGTGAGAGGGAACAAAGCGAAACGAGATGAAAGAAATGAAGATAAAATTTAAAATGTTATAAAGTAGAAAAGTAGGAAATGGAGGCACAAAAGTACAGAAGAAATAAGGAAAGAGGTAAATCAGAAAGTAAAGAATGAAATATAAAGAAATAAGGAATTAAAGAAGAAATAAATATAGGGAAAGTAAGACAAGCACAATGGAAAGTGAGGGGGAACCGAGTGAAACGAGAAATCAGAAAGGAAGATAGAAATAAAGAAGTCAAAAAGTAGAAAAGTAAGGATTAGAGTTATGAAAGTAAAGAGGAAACGAGGAAAGAGATAAATAAGAAAGTAAAAAATGAAAGATAAAGAAATAAGAAAGTAAAGAAGAAATAAATATAGAAGAAGAAGGAGGTTGTAAATGGATATAGAAATAAAGAAGTAAGAATAAGATAATAAGAAAGAAAAGAATATAGAAATGAAGAAGTGAAGAAGTAGAAAAGTAAGGAATAGAATTATAAAAGTGGAGAAGAAATGAGGAAAGAGATAAATAAGAAATTGAAGAATGAAAGATAAAGAAATAACGAAGTAAAGAGGAAATAAATTCAAAAATAGAAGAAGGTTCGAAATAATTCCAAGAGACCAGTATAGGAGACCGGCTCGAGGAAGAATGAGCGCTGTGAGTCCCGGGCTCTGCCTCGAGCGCTCCCCCCACCTTCCGCCTGCCTTCGCTCGCCGAGTCGTGCGTGACGAGTTGCGCGCGCACAATTTTGGGCAACTTCCAGTACTTCTAAATATGCTTGACCTGAATTTCTGATTTCTAAGTGTGAATATTTTACTTTATTGATTAATTTAATTATTTTAATGTTGCAAATACCTAATTTATTAATATATTAATTTGAACGTAATTTATTTTCGATATTCTACATTTTCAATTCAATTTTTAGCTATTTCCTGTCTCGTTGTAAGGGTTGCTTTGGGAACCAGGAGTGAGTAGCGAAGAACCTCTGCCCGTCAAGCTACGCGTTCGTGCTCACGTTTAGCTCGGCTACGACGGGATTCGCATTGTTGATGGAGGCCATGATCACATAATCCTACTTCCAGACTCGCCGCTACAATTTAGTGCCATAATTTTGGTATCACTTAAAACAATAGCGTTGTGCATCGCCCTACTCACCTCTGGTATTTAGGAAAGAAATGGCATGAGACGATAAGGAGTCATTTGAGCCAATCATGCTATTTTGTTAATGATTACGAAAATGTGTTCATATATTATTTATTTTCATGTCTACTTTATATATACATATTGACATTTTCTGATGAAGTTATTGCTATTAATATCAATGAAATGCATTCTTATCAAAATATAGATAGTTTAGCTTTATTCTTACGTTGATTTTGTTCAGCCGCAATATGTTTTTCATCAGTTCGTAGATCTACGAGTTCCTTTTGTTTGTCGTTATACTGCATTACAATGTTGTTGTAATGTATGCTACCCTTTGCGTGGCGTCCCATTGATTCCTTCAGCTTTGCAGATTCTCTCTCAAGCCTAGTTATATTTTGTCCTATTTTAAGACTCGCTACGTTCAGTCTCTGATTGGATTCTGATTTCAAATTTTTTCTATATTTTGAGCCTCCAGCTTCGCTCTCATTTTTCGCTGTAACGTACAATTGATAAAGTGAAATAGAAGTTAATAAAATATTTTAATTTCCTCATGATCTGCTTATCTATTCAACTTACGCTTGTCACCTAATGTCGTGTTGATAAAATTAAAAACGTTGCTTTTCTCACGTTGTACTTCTTTTTGATATTGTTTCTCTCGTTGTTGCTCCAATTTACGTTTTTGCTTACGCATTTTGCGTTCGACGGAAAAAAGATCTTTGTCACCACCAGCATTCTCTCGCAATTCCATGCAATGATCTGTTTATATTTTTTTCATTGCCCAAGTGAAATTGAGAAGTAGACATTATTAGCAGTTATATTTAGTACATGAAATAATAATGAGTTGATTACCTAATGATTTGCCAGCTGGTAATACAGTTGCTTCCACTGGTTCGATTCTACCATCTGCTCGTTTGCCCAATCCAGTACCGGAAATGTAACCCATCTGCGCCATAAGTTTACTTCCTATACCGCGAGTATGTCTCTCCCAGTTTCCTAAAGCTTCACTGCCGTTCAAAGTTAAGAGGGACTTATGAACCAAATGCTCTTGGTTCTTTTCTACAACTTCAGTTTCCAGTTCGCTGTCGTCCGAAGAATCCGACATGTCTAGATCCGCGTCGCCTGTTTCAAAGTCAAATGAAAGCTCCTGTATGGGGTGCGATGCACTGTCATAGAATAACAAGAAAATGTTACCCCTCTTACCAAGTGGAAGCAGGTCTTGTAAACTAACTTCCAGAATATTTCCACTAGCCTCAAACTTTACACGAAATTTCTCTTCATTCTTTTCAGGGAGTTTAAGCACTACGGATCTGTGCCACAATTTATTCGTATGCATTGCCAATACTCTGCTGCCCATTTTAATACTTGAGAAATCTGGCTCTCTAGAAAAAGTACAAGTCATTTTGACACCTTGATAAATAAAGAATAATAAGGAATGAGATTACATACCTGTATTCCTGCAAGCTTGAAAATGGCACCACTTCTCCGTGTGAATAATGGCATTGCTCATCTGAAAATTTACATGCTCCATCAAGAAAGTAAGGACATGGAAGCATCTCCTTGTGTGTAGGATTCATGAAGAGAACTCTGACCTATACATATAAATTTTACAATAAAGCTATAATTTTTAGATTAAAAATAAGAGCTAGTAATTACTTACCTTGATATCATTCATGCTTCTGATTTCTTCCTGATTGCTCTTATAAATAGAGCCAACCATAGCATTGTGATAACCTGTGCCACCCCAACTGCTACCATGGGGAGCACGACATTTAGTACCCTCGAGCGCCTTCAACTCATCCTACAATATCAACTTGCACCGTATAATTGTATCTTTGCTATGAGTTACCAAATAGTTGTTTACTGACTTCGATACCGTTTGCAGCCGATGTATTATTTTGATCAATATTATTTGAGTCATTTGAATCCTCGCCCAATTCAGCCTAAAACAGTTTGACATGATTTTAAGTAAATTAATTTTCTTTCATACATTTTTGTGAAACTTAATAGCAAATCAAATACCTTGAATAAAGCATATTCTTTTGCTAGTGGATCATCATTTTCGTCTGTAAATTTTTTAGATTGATCATTGTTTTTGCCTTCGAGGACACTCTGCAAGCTATCCTTAGTCAAACTAATGAGTTCTTGTATGTCAGATTGCAAGCTAAGTAGATTATCTTTATCAGGTCCTTTTCCAGTGGCAGAAAGTGCCACTTGTACTTGGGATAACTAAAAAAATAATGCATAAAACTTAATCACTCTGCTGTTAATAAATACAAGGTAAAAGGTCTGTGGCAAAATAATTATGTCGATAAAATACATACCTGTGCCTCATATTCCTGGATAGCTTGCCTCAAGCTATGAGCGTCTGTCATTTTGGTACTTGTACAAAACAAACACAGCCTACCTTTCACTAGGCAAATAAATCCAAACTTTGACAGTACCAGTGACAATTTACATTTTCATAGCCTACCACCAAATACTAACTCGCTAAACAGCACACAGCTGATTTTTCTCCTCCCAACCAACTTTTTCAACCAATCACGTACCGTGTACGTTGTTACACTTCCTCCTAGCGGTGCAAACTAGTAACACTAAACACGTCCGAAAAAGTGGAATGAAAATCTCCTAAAAACTGTCTGTAAAAGCGAAGTAAAATCATTAACTGTTAAAAAAAGAAGTCAATGTACAAAGCCAACCAGAAAGCAAATTCGCTTCTACCTTAACATTACTTTTATAGCGACAGATAGGTAACAATAAAAAATCCATTGTTAAATCTTAAGACTGTGGGGTTTATTTCATACGACAATATACAAATAAATATAAGATACAATAAACACAACGCCCATAACTCATTTTTCAAATATTAAATCCCGAAGAAACTCGAATAAGAGATAAGTAAACGAAAAAAGAAAAATTCTACAATGGAGATTCTAAAAGAGAGAAGCTCACAAGAGTCAGATGTCTAGGCGTTTATGTCCTGTAGGTATAAAATCCTTTGAAAAGTCCTTCGTAGATGATTCATTTTGGAATGGGAAAGAAGGTGCGTGAGATTCGTATATTAAAGGCGGAAGGACACAAGATTAAAGAGTTACATTCGTCGAAGGTCATATCTCATTTCGATTGAGTCGCTTAATTAATTATTCGACACTGGTATTATCTAACAGCCAGGCTAAACTGTGCTCAAGATAGATGCACATTTCGAAGAGTCTCTCTCTTTCACGTCTTTATCTTTATATCTTTTCTGTAATACGGTTATCATAGAAGTATACCACGATATAGAATGAGTATATCATCTTATTCGTTATCCGTTACTAGTAATGATAATAACTGCAGTATCAGCTAACCATCTAACACCGTTTAAATGGTAGAAATTGTTCAAGAATCATTCTGCAATATTCATCAAAGACAGTATATACGATAATAATAAAATTGCAAAGGCCCCTTTACAATTTTCCAAACTTCAAAGAAAACGAATAATAAATATATTATACCAGAAATATAACCGGGCTATCACCGGTATCGAAGGAAACACCACGTATACTTTTTTTTACAGTCACAACGACCCCATATAACATTTACATATGAAATACAAATGACGTAAAAAAAGAAAATCAAAATGCCCATTTTGCATTTCTCCCTGACCATTCTCAACAGTTAATCACTAAGCGACTTATCGATTTCGATTATTATTCGACTATCGGTTATCTTAACAATTTCATCGAGATATCGCAGTCGAATTCATAACTCAATGACGCCTCGCGGATACTCTCGCGCGTTACCTTATCGTTTATAGTCTAATTGTGAGATGTAATTATAATATATATATATAATATATATCGTCGAAGGAAAAAGCGGTACACATCCTATAATAAATTACATTACAAATAATAGATTTCCTATATGAATTATGCATATTAAAGTAATAATGTATTACCAATAACTGCATTATATCAAATATCGAGTATATTAGAACGATCTAAACTTAATCAGCCTCTTTAATCAACAACGATAAAAATGATTTGAATATACAATACGGGGAGGGCTCGGAGATAGGTGGGGGTCAGGGGAGGGGAGGGGGTACACACGATACCAACTCCTGACTTGAGAAAAGCATCTAAAAGAAAACTGCACCCACCTATTTCGATTACATGAATGTAGATGCCTTTATAATGTTATTGTATACGCGTGTATAGTGTTTAAAGTGTTGAGTGTTGTATTTGTCGTTTCGCAAGTGCACCTTTACAGTGTGACACTAGTGTTAGTGGGAGTGTGTCTGTATATATTTATTTATTTATTCATATATCTTTAAGTTGTACTGTTTTAACGTAATTCCTTACTTAGCCTAAACGTACTATCACAAACGTGTCTACATACGAAGGTATCATTTTTCTTTTCCATTAAAATTGCAATACAAATACTTGGCCGGGTCGGAGTAGTTAGCTCGTGGTGTTTTTCTTTTTTGTTTTACGTGGTAGCGTTACTTTTTTTTTTTAATTCTCACGGCTCGTAATTATATCTAGGGGTCAGGCGAGGAGGAGGGTTCTTCATTTAAAATCTCAAGATAATGAGGCTCTGTCCATTTGTTACAATGTTTGAATATATATCCCGTGAGCTCCATTGGTCTGATTGACTACTGACAATCGTGATTTTTATTCGTCTAACGTTCGCAAGATTCGTTTATCATAATTGTATCTTTTTTAAACCGTTCATTTTCTTTGAATTATTGTTTTTGAATGCAGTTTTATAATTTTTGGCATTGAGTGTATCGAATGAGTGTGACGTTTAATTATTCTTTTTTTTTGTAACGAAAACGAGTGCGCGAGGACTTGTATAATTTTTTTTTTTGAAAACGACGAACCGATTTCGCTTTTCGTGAGCGCTGAGCTTAATGCGATTAATTATTATTATTTTTCTCTCATTTTGCTTTTTGGCACACATTTGAACGAGGGTTCATCCGTCGTTCTTGCAAGTTCGATTTCGTTGCGTTATCAGTGACGAATCATCAATCAATTACTTGATCAAGGATCAATTTTAAGGTACAACCAAAAGTGTAACTTGAGATATAATTTAGTTTCTCTTCCTCTCTTCTCTTACATTGCTTCTAAGTAAAACCGAATATAATCGTACGAAATTAAAGCTTCACTGTCTCATAACAATTAATTCGATTATACCATACGAATAATTGAAATGCCTAATAATTCGCTATTATTTAAGGAGTTTGGACATAATATAGGCTAGAGCACGCAACGGTACCTTCCATTAGTATATAAAGTATCTTTGCGAGATACATTCGTTCTAGATAATCAATTCTTTTCATAAATCCTCATTAATAAAGGTGTTACCTCTCGAGTGAGCTATTCATACGAATATTAGTATGTTTACTAGACGATTACAATTTTACATAATATATTGTCCAATAAGCTGGAAATATTTTCCAACCAGTTTCGGATAAGCTACGCACGTAAACAATCCCCAGCAATTTTCAGATACGATAGCAACGCGATCATGTTGCACTTTAATGTAGAATAGTTTTCATCGATAGTCTATACTATGGATATTGACCCATCGTACAATCAGAATAAAAGTATATATTTGTATCGATGCCAATATCTAGTATCTAAAACAGGCCTGAGTTTGATAGTAGGCATTATTCATGGATGATAACACAGATTTAACAGTCATTCGATAGACAAAATTTTTGAACTCTGTATTAAAAAAAAAAGTAATCAATTTTACTACGATGGCAAATATTCAAGGTTTCTTTGGATTAAATGATCCAGCATGATCGTTTTGCATCGCTTCACCATGATTCTACCGTGGTATTTTATTCCTAGAGAATTCTTTGATTCCCTGCCGATAAGGAACGTTACTCAAATCCCAATCGCATCTATAACGTGCATATCACACTCCTTTCTATGCATACGTTGTATCGTTCAGTTTCTCAGCTACCTACGTATTTACAAGACTAGACTTCTTATGCCGTGATACGTGTAAAATTCAAGCTGCCCATTCGCTCCGTAACAGATAACAAGATGGACGACAAGTTTACTTTTGGTATCTTGTCTCGCACTCGCAATTCACTAAACGACTGTTCATTCACTTGAGGAAAATCGACAGATCGTTATTAGTGGCTTATCGTGTGAGCAACCGAGTAGGCAGAGTACAATGAGCATAATACGAATTACGGGGTTAGCTTATAATTAAATTAATCTTAAAAGTACGTGCTCTTTTTTTTAGTGCCGACAGTCACCTGCGGCCGTACACCGTTGGCAACGTTAATCTAGTTACATCAACGAATTAACTATCTCTCGTCAATTACAATCAAAGCACCATACTTAGGGAGCACCATCGGAATTCACCATTGAGCTTTTATCGAAGCCAATTTATTTCACCATTGTCACCTTTATCCTTATTTAATCTCATTTGTTTTTATTTTTAATTTCTCCGTTGTACAGAAACTTTTACTTTACATGGAATTTAATGAGGATTTTTCTTTTTAATAGGTTACTGTTCGATACTGTCTGATTAAATAAATTTAAAGGTACAAGGATATCAGTGGGCTCTTTAACCTTCGTTTTACGTTTCAAATGATCACGTCGAATTATAATAGCATAATGGTGAGCGACACTTTAGGTTATTTCTTCTTCTTCTTCTAACTCAGGTATTTTCGAAACGCAGTATTTTTGTAATTTCGGCCGTGCGATTCTTCTTTCACCTGATTGTCGCAATCGATAGTTTCACGCGATGGAATGTTAAGCATTCGGGATACGGAGGCGATGAGACTCGACTCGTTTGAATATCTCTGTTAAAAATGCGCGAATTCGAAAAAAATGTTTTCTTCGATAATACATTATTTTCATATCCACATCTGAGTATTCTCTGTCGCGCGTCATCCCATACGTTTTATCATCTTTCACTTGTTATCAGTCGCTCGTTAAATTATAGTCCGATCAAAGTCACTTTTGCAAGTGGATTACAAAATTTTCAAACAGTCGTAATAATTAGTGGATTGTCTTGAGGTACCGATTCTGTTGAACGGCGCTATTAGCCCTTCCTAACGTCCCATCTAATCTCATTGAATTCTCAGTAAGTCATAGATATAATATTGCACATTCCCGAAATCGATCAAATAAATGGAATACTAATTTTTTTAGATTTTAAATAAAATAGCTGTTGGAGTCAATCTGGTACGATGCTCCAAAAAAAATTCTTGCGGTTACCGCTTCAATATTTTTTTCATTGAAGTCGAAGGATACACCATATATATGCTCGTCCTCTCTAATCGTTATCAATATATTATACAAAGATCGACCTCAGCGTGGAATCGGGATTACTTTACATCGAACCACTGAAGCGCGCATAAGAATTCTTTTCCGAAATAAAAATTTCCAGAAACACAGATAAATCCAGATAGATAAAATATTTAAATTCAATAAAATAAATATACCGATCAATATCTCGTAATACAAATTTAGCATACTTCTAGCATGCTGTATATAATATCAGCATATATCTATAAATTCTGTGTGAGCACGACGCATGAAGTTCCTTCGATTTCTATTTTAAAAAATCAATCAATAGAAAACGAGGCTTAGACGTCGCGACGCTTGTCAAGTGCCTACTTAATTGTCCATCTCTGACTAAAGAATAATCCTCCATAATATATGGATAATCGGATATCGACGGAGCGAATGCAATTCTCACGAGTCGTTTTTCATCTTATTGGGAATATTAATCGCATTATGGAATTCGTAAGAGGAAATAAGTCTCATCGGTTATTAAAATTCGTTTGAAATGGATGAAGGATTCTCATCGCAACGATGTACGAAGCCATGTTGGGGTCATCCGGCCTTGTGATCAGGCAGGAGAATACTGACGGACTTGCGAGTTGGTATTCCATTTGGATTGCTTGTTCCTGTGGCAGCGGAAGATGGTCGATGAGACGGGGCGACCACGCGCACTTCCGGTCTGGGTGACGCTTCCGTTCTCAGTGGACTGCCAGAGACTGCGTTGTCCTCTGTCATGACAGCCAAGACAGCCGGCCTGAAAGTCAAAGAGAAATTTTCCAAATTAGGCACGATATTTAATTTTGAAAAATAATTAAAGCTAGCATAGACCTAATTTTTAATTATTACTAGGGAATTTTTAGTTACCAATGACATTGCTGTTTGGCCTCTGACTTACCACACCTTAATGGCATCTAATGTGTACGGATCTCAAGATACGATAATTCAATGGAATAGAAATGAAATAAAAATAAATTGTTACTCTCTTTCTCTTACAAACCCTTCCTAGTTTCCCACCTCAGGGACTGTTTCATCATTTTTTTTATTTCAGATAACAGATCAATCGGCAAAGTAAAATGAAATACTAATTAGCGGAAAAGTACAACTGGGAATACTCTCACGTGACGATATCAGTGACGATTGACCTATTTAAAGATAATGCCAATAATAATCGAAGGTGCTCCGTTTTCTTGCTTCCCAAGAGCGGTTGGTATTACTTTGTTTTTTGCTTTTTTAATTTCACTTCATTTCACAAATAAAGCCGTTCATCTATTATCTCAAGGCGGTCGTTACATCAACGTATGTATTTTTTTTTCTATGTAAAATTTCCTTTGTGTCAAAAACTCCTTAGAAATTTTCAAATGAAACGAATTTATTCGCATTTCGCGAATATCACGAATAACCAAGTAATCGCAGCGAATTAATATAACATGCGTATACAGAGGAAAATGAATATTCCAACGGTAGGTAAGGCAGCTACTGAAATATTGGTCGGTTGATCAACTCTCGTTGCAAAATTCCTACGAATAGCTCCCGGGGCTTCGTACAATTACAGGAAATCCCGATCTCGAACCCGAGGAAGTTGCGCACTATGAGAATTAATACCTTGCAAATGGCGTAGGATCCAATAGTGGGGCATGATTGAGTTAAGTCTAGTCGTGGTTAAGCCACAAATGGAATTTGACTCTGGGCTCGCAGTACATTGGCATTGGCTAAGTCAATAGGGGAATTCAATTTGAGCGTTAAAATCTTAATTAGCGACATTGTTTGATCCGAGCCTGGTGCTAACTACACACACGCCATTAAAGGCAGCGAATAAGTGTTTAATTAGTACGGTTATATAATCGAAACAGCAAAGCACAATCTTCGAGCGAATAACAGTTGGCAAAGTTTATCTTAAGTCTTAGATAATAAAAATTAAGTAAACACACGATAAAACGCGGTATGCTGATGATTTTGGAAATTTTACAAAATTCCATCACTTCCAACTACAGTCTCTATCAGGTCTCTATAAGCGATAAAAATTTTCGGGTACTTTACAGTACCCGAGTGCATACTAGGCATACGTGAATAATATCGTGTGCAGCTAGAAAACTGCATCCAGCCTGCATCGACGATTCGTCGAAACGTAAGATTCGCTGGGAATAAATAGCGACAAAGATATAGTCTGTGCTCAATGTACAAGATGTGGATTATGAATATTTCTAAAAAAAAAATTTAATTTTAAAAGCGACAGGACAATTTGCTTATCGTTTTCAATAGTGACAGCTTTTACCAATTGGCTACGGATAAACACGAAAAATCTATCAACCGCGATTGTCGACATTGCGCAATTGCATTAATGCGCCGTCCATTAACTCACCGTAGTGCCAATGCTTTGTTGCTTTGGCCACGGGTCAACTAAATGCACGCGGTTCAATTAGATTAAATCCAGTTGGCTCAGACAGACTGGTCGGTTTAATCGACGCTTTCGACTCGCCTGAAAAGTGCAAAAGAGAAATGCAAGCTGCATTTTTTTATACCTATGTTGCAGTGGTGGCGTCGGCGTTCGTGACAGAGGGAAGCTGGCGACCTCACGTGTCACTGACAGCGACCTAATGGATCCGAAGGTTTGATCCGGTGACAAATTGGCACCGACGGTCGGCACCATCCCGCTGCTGAAACCGAAAATCATATAGATTTAGAAATGTTGACAATTAAAAAAATCCTTTTTTTAGTCCTTCGTTGCAAACTGAATTTATACCATTGCGTAATACATAGGAAAGCCTGGATATCGTATGGATACGTAGACCGGATGAAAACTCGGGCAATTGAAAACGGGGACGAGGAGACCGAAGGTCCGAACAAAGGGAGAAAATATTTTCAGGAAATTGCGAGAGTTCCAAGGCACTCATACGGCTGCGATTGGACCAGGAGAAATCGTTGCCAATATTCCTGGCAATTTTATCGAGCAAAAGGATAGCAGCGACAACCTCGATATCCCTGGGATTCTGATTCAGGAAAGTTAACCGGCTCTCCATTGTCCTAGTATCAATTGCGTTTGGGGTATGATGGTATCTCTTATCGGAATTTCGCAGATGACGGTATAGTTTTGGTTTTTATTTGGAAAAAAGTGAAAAAACAATTGACAAAAATAAAAAAATAGATAAATAAATGCGTTTTCGACTTCGAAGTATAGATAACGGCTGGTTTACCCGACAGTAAGAAAATTAGAGGGTAGTTCTGAAAGGTCACGAAGATACCACCCCCTCCCCCCCCCTTCCTCTCTGGGTCGTTTTGGATTTCTAGAAACGGATACAATTAATCTCTTCGTTAACAATGGCAAGATGAATTATCGGATCAAAATATTTCAGGGGATGTTACCGAATGCCGAAATTGAAGGGGTAGTTCGATATTAATTGTCAAACACGATCATTAGGGTTTAACGTTAATTCAGAGGGGTAACGCACAGGTAGGGTTTCGAGCCTTGTTTCCCTTAATTGCAGAAATTTAGCTACGATCACCATTATCCCTTAACAGTTACCCTTTGTGGGTATAGGATACAATTTAAAATACAGTTGTAAATCATCGTGTGTTCGTCTTCATATAAATTTTCATTATTGAAAAAAAAAAAAAAAAAAAAAAAAAAAAATGCGGCAAAACTTGAAAAAGATCTGAACGAGGAAAACGGAATGAAGAAAAGAGAAGCGTAAAGAATATAAGGAGAAAGTATAAAATCGATTTCTTCCGCAAATTATCCTCATGAAACTTCGACTACTCACCGCCCTTTAGCCATTACAGAACATGAAGCAAGAGAAACCAAAATAGAATAAAGTAAACTAGAATATTTAATGGTAACTTGATTGATAAGTTCGGTTCGTTATATAATGGCGTTCCTGCGCGTACAATAATAATATACCGAGCCCGTAATAGCACGTAACATTACCCTCGCTTGTATCCAGGCCTGGATACGTCAATAGAGTATGATGAAAATCATCAGTTCCTTTTCATTACCCTTGTGCGTAATGATTCGGGAGAAAATTTACATCTATTTATTTATTCAGCACAGTTCTGTATATTGAGCAGGTATACAATCAGTCTATATAACTATATATATAATAATATAGTATAATAAATTCAAAGTTACGTGATTACGTTGATTACGTTCAGCCTATGCCTAGTCAGTCTCGTATAAATTGCACGTGTTAATTTTCAAAAATTATTATGTAGAGCACAGGGCAATATTCAATAGGTAATTGATCTACACATATATATATAGAGATAATAGAGTTTATATATATATATATATAAAATAATAGAGTTACCCCAAGACGTAATTTTGCTAAGGGGATTCTGCGTTATAAAAGGCAAGATCAATAAAGCTATTGTTGGAACGATCCTTTGATTAATGGTTAACCTAGCAACTATTAATATGAATACGTGTACTAATTTGAGTTAAATACAAAAAAAATATCCCAAATCATATTTAATTGAAGGATAGCTGATGAAGTTATGTAATTTTCGTTTCTACGCTTCGGTTTCTGCTTGAGACTGATTGCTTGAAAATGTAAATATTTAATTTCACTATTGAACTAATTGACTCTGATCATAAGGTGCTGAGAAGTGCAATAAGAATGACATCTGTTCGTTATTACTCGATAATCCAAAAACTGAAACGTGGATATAAATTATTAAAGAAAAAGAGGAGGAATGGCTATAACCATTACGTCATGCGTAACAAATTATTCAACCATTAGAAATTTGGGCTTCCGTAAGGAAAGCATTATGGGCTCCTAAACGATATCACCCATTAACCGACGATGGCAGCTCAATTTCGGTATAACGAGCCTATTCTTCCTTTTGGGGGTTTGACACTTTTTCCTTTTTTTTTTTTTCAACGAAATTTACCGGCACTGGAGGACAATGGGGGATGAAGGGTGGTGGACGAAAAAAAAGGTCTTCAATCGAATTGAAAAGACGAACAATGCGAGATACGACGGAATCGTTATTGTCATAAAACGTTAAAAAAGGTCAGACGTTGAAATTGACATGAGCGAGAACGTTATTTCCATTTGTGCCCTGACATGATTAATTAAAATTTTATCAAGATCAGCCGCTGATTGATAAGCAGAAATACGTGGAAAATAAAACGTAAATCTGAAATGCCGACGCAATACTACCATGATACATTATGTTTGTAAGGTAACGATATTAAAAAAAAAATTTTTTTTTTTTTATCAAAATTCAATCATCCTATCTTCGTTCTAGACAAAAACAAATGAGTACTGGTGATGATCTAGACAGCAGAAAAAAATATATACGTATACCGAAACTCCGAACTCGAATAATTATTTTTGAAAGCGCATCGAAGTCGAAGGTCGAACTTTCAATTTTTCAAAATCATAATAAATTCCGGTTTACGTAATCCTTTTTTTTTTTTCCTGAATCTTTTCCAAGCTTTTCCAATAAAGCTACGCAACGCCGAAGGAGACCTATTTATAAAGTCAACCTTATCTCCGATAGTGGCTTACCTACCCCAATGAGAATTAATGATTTTCGGAAATGCCTCATTCATCCCTGATTATTCTACATTGGAAGTGAACTACACCCAGCATAGTGATATTAGCTAACGGTGTTAGGGTTAGCTTACAACAAGGCGATATCTACGCGGGTCTAATGTTCCTGTAGTAATTGCGTTGCTGGATATAGTCTCTCATGAAATATAAATAACCAGCCGGTAGTGTATTTTTAGAAATCAGAATTATTCCTATCTCTCCCTACGAAACAAGCATGTAGATGAGCAATCTTTTTTCTTTGCTACTATAAATAACTCATATATATGTATAATGACTGTAAAAGCAAATTCATTTTTCATTCCATTTCACATACACGATAAGATCATTTGCCTGATAACATTGAATAAAGAAGAATATAAAAGGCTGCTTATTATGCTTGCCCGTCCGTTATACGTATTTTGATACATTCTTGAAATATGCCATTAGGTTCCGAAATGCTTCACAACTTTTTGATTTATCGCACGCACACACACACACACACATATATATATATATATATATATATATATATATATATATATATATATTCTCCAATGGGAACCAGAAAAAGTTTCAGGTTCCAAGAAGAATTCTTACCTGACAGATCCCGAAGTCACGAGGAAGGGCATAGGCGTAGGACACGGGCTGAGGGGCGAACTGCTCACAGAACTTCGAGTGCTGCTCAGAACAGAATGAGGGCACTGTGGCGGTCCCACGTGCGTACCCGCACCACCGTTTCCGGTGCCTTTGCTTCCTGCGCGTCCCTTGAGACAAGGAATCCTTGGCCATCCTCCATCATCCTTAGCAGAGACACCTGAAACAATTATACCTTACATAATATGGCATTGTGATCCAGTATATGCATATATGTTACTTTTATTCTTATCGACATTCTATATCTATATATTTTCATTTCTGTTGTTCATACAAGGACAAGATATATATATATATATATGATATAGATATATATATATATATATGTACACACACGCCAGTTAATAATTGTGTAATATGATAAAATTTCTACGATTTTTATATCAAAAATGTTTCTTTGACCTCGATGTTCAGAACTGTAATGGATACGTAATGAGAGGTATCCGATGGATAAAAAATTTTTGCAAAATACAAAAAAAAAAGTTTCATTCTCGGAGCCTGAAGAAACGTGACAATAATCGAGATCGCGGATATAGTTACATTCGCGGAGACAGTTATATTCGGCTCAGAATTCATATAGAGAGATGACATTTTTCCGATACTAAGGGAGAATTCATTATCGCGAGTGGTTTGCCCGGAGTAGTTGCATAGTGGTGTGAAGAAACATTTGTTTTCTCTTGAAATTAAGGGGCAAAGCATTAACGAAATGAAATAAAAAGAAAAAGAATAAATGATGACGTCACAGGAAAAACTATCCACGCTCATTGATCGATGGAATAATCTATACATATTTTTGCCTAATCCGTTTCCCCATCCTTGTGAGAAGACAAATAGAATTTCACGTGTGACATCGACCGTCCGAGTTACGTCAACGAATTTCAAATTATTTATAGTAAACGCCTAAATAAATAAATATATATATATATATATATATATATATATGTACGATCTAAAGCGTATCGCGGATGCACCGTGTACGCCAAAGGCAGCGATACTAATTTCGCGTCGCGACGAAAAATAATCGCGAATCCGACTTTCACCTACATACTTTGAAAAAAAAAAAAAAAAAAAAAAAAAAAAAAAAAAAAAAAAAAAAACCGCCACACTGACCCAATTTGTCAGCCCCTGAAGAACGGCGGTCGCGAAGATTAATTTTCCTCCTTCGTAGCGAGGTGCGATATTAATCACCCCTCATGTCTGACCTTCGACCAATAAGTCACGGAGAATTCCAGCGAGCTTCAAGCGCATCGCAACAGGATGACCTTTGACCAGCATTTAACGTTCGTCGATAAAATAATTACTTGCCCCGAGCGATCGATCCCCCCTTTTAACACGTCCTCGTGGAAATCCTACGATTTTCGAAAAATTCCCCCAAAAAAATCATCTAACAACACATCCGCTATGTACGAGTATTTTAACTGTTTCTGGGTCATGGATGCACCATGGACTGGTGGAGTGGAGATGGAGTGCGTCATTAGAAAAAAAAAAAAATACAATTAGAGCGCGAGTACGTCACTGCAATGAGCTCGGCTGGTGCAACGGAGTCGCGGTGGTAATAGGATTGTAGGTGCTGCGGGTTGAAATCCGTGCGCGATGCACGCAGGCAATGCCGAGGGAGGGAGGGAGGAGGGAGGGAGGGCGAAAGGCATACGTAAAGTTCGAAGAAGATCCGAAGGAAGGATTGCGTGGCTCTTGGTGCCTTCTTCGAAGAGGGTGATAGGGGTTGGAGGGGAAGGACGAAGGAAGGAGAGGGGGTACGCAGTCGGAGGGCAACAGATGTCATGGACCCCGAGCGCTGTGCGCGCCCTAGTTACCCTCTTCCTTTACCCCTCCACCCAAGCCCACCTCAGCATCCCGGTAGTCCTGGTTACCTATAAGCGCTTTGCAACCCCAATCAACCCCCCTGCTGACTTCATGCTTCTATCTGCTCCCACGTTAGGGTCAAGCTGCATCCCTCAATTCCATGGATTAAAAATCTTTATTGGAGATACGGAAGCTGTTGGTCCATTGTCTGGATGCAAGTCTTAGGGGATGCTTGTTAGGGTGCATTTTTTTTTCTTTTCTTTAACGACCGTCATACGGTCGTTCGTAGACGTTTCGTGAATTCGGGTAGTTTTCGTGGGTTGTGAACGTCTAGGGGTGGTTTCGAGGGCGAACCAGTGGGCTATGAGGATTGATTGTGAAAGTTTTAAGTAAATTCCGAGTGCGGCAGAGTGCACGTTTAGTTTGGTGATAATTGGGTCAACGGGGTAAGCATTGGGTTTAGAAAGTTTAGGTGGCGCTTATAGGAGGCAGGGATTGACCCATTGAATTTTCAGTGTTGACGAATGCGTCGCGAGGCGATGGCCGTGTGTTAATGGGCTTTTACTAATGAGTTTTGATCGCACAGTCGAAGGGTGTTGATCGGGATGAGATTTTTGGACTGATTTTTATGACGGTTGTCAATTTTTTTTTTATAATTTTTTAATTGCATTCACACACGTGCATCGGGTGGGTAGAATATCGTCGAATGTGACGTTCGAATTCCGTGCATGAGTCATACGTCTCTCAGGGGATATTTGCATTTAGATAGAAGTAGCGAACCGGGGATGCGGAGTAGCGAAGGACATTTTGAATATGATACGCGATTAAGGTTCAAAGGGTTAAGGGGTCGATGACCCATTTTGTAATTCTAGACTCTCGAGCGAGTATGCTGGAAATTTATATTAGATTTATTATACGTCTTTTAGGTATGAAATCGATTCGCGAAGAGCTCAACTTAGCCTATTTGAATTTATGAAAGGCGGAAACCGTATTATTAGAATTTAAAAATTGATTACAAAGGCACTCGGTTCCACGTGCCGTTTACGTAGAGCGAGATAAATGGCAAAGTATTTTGAAACGCAAAATGGAACGAGAGTGGTATATCGACGAAAATTTTCAAGGACAAATTTGTCTCTGATAAGATATTAAATTTATCTTTGTTATTTCAAGCTTCAAGAGACCCAGGAAATTCGAACTTGAGGGTCGTGGAAGCACGTACTCCGAGTCGAATGTCTATGTCATATGTAATAAGGGTGGATGTGTGCACTAAGGTAGGCAGTGAAGGAAACGTGAGTAGAATGTTATGCACTCGCGAAAAGTGCATTTTACCTAGAATCCCTAAAATCGCACCGAGAACCGCGTAAAACGAGACTTGAAATTCCGGCGAGTCATACAGGTCGACAGCAAACACCAAAATCCTTTCAGAGAATAACGTTTTTTTTTAAAAAAAAAAAAATTTCTTATTTATAAGTAAAAAAAATAGTCTTAAGCAATGCAGCTCTCGATAAAGTGCATTCTACAGAAGTGAATGCCAAGGTAATTATTAATGTTTCTCACGAGATAACACACGTCGACCCTCGATCACGTTAATGAGGATTCGCTACTTCCGGTATGTTACGAAGTCACGTATCTCTTATGATTTTTGCTCGTTCGCTCGAATTAGTGCACATGCACGTTATGCACTAAGAATCATATAATTACATTGGCACATTTTCATTACCGAAGATACGAACCTCGTATTACCGACCGAGTCTCGACCTTCCTTACCGACCGTCATACGCAAGTCGAATATGATGAAATTACGTGTCTTTCAGACTCACCAAGTATCTTGACATCCTGGACAGGACTCACGGGATAAAAGTCACCGTGCAACGGACAATGATATCCCACGCGACGTTCCCGTCGCCTGGCGCGACGCGTGAGCATACATAGAAATACGCCCAAGGCGAGCATAAGGGCGCCCACGGCGATGCAGATAGGTCCGAGGACCCGAGAGTTTCCGGTGAAAGCGATCCTCGCCGCATAAGAGTCCTTGTCCTCGTCTTCGCCAGGACCCCGATAAGAGGCCGCTGTAAGCATAGAGGATTATTTTACTTGTTATTAAAATAATTAACAATATTAACACCCTAAACAACAAATAATTAGGACGATTGATCGTAACGGAACTTTTAACTTTGAAATTATTTTTATTTCATTCGATCAAAATTCGTTAGTTACGTCCCAGGGAACTCGTGCAAGGTATTCGTAAGATATGAAACGACATTAGGTATACGAGTTATTAAAGTTGTGTCAATTGAAACATGCGACAAGAAGTAATTTATTCAGGATATTTTTTCAATGCTATCGATACCGTGAGAACGTTATGATATTTGGATTGGATGTGGAGTGTGAAAAAACAGACGCAGCAACAGATTGACTCTTAAAAATCCTCAATATTAAATCAACGTTCTGAATATCAAAAAGCGAAAAATAAAAAAATTCGTATCACCGAGAAAAAAGTTCAAATTATTATTTTTCCAAATATTCAGCATAACTTCATTAGCCCGAAAGAGATATCACATTGTACAAGGAGGCTTACGATAATATTGCGATTGGAGTAAGGATCGATAAGGTATTAAAAAAAAATTTATGATAAAAAAAAATACAGAAGCTACCGATTATTAGTAACGTATAATTAAGATAATTATGAAACGTTCATTTTTTCTCGAAAACAGGAGATGAGTATTAAACCAATGATGAACCACTAAGTAAATTTCTAAAAAAAAAATATCAAAAAAATTCTCTACGGACCGTTTTAGCACCATGACAGAAAGAGGTATACGTGACAAAGCGTCGAAATGATAAAAAAAAAAAGAAAAAAACATTGCAGCGTTACCATGGTAACGAGACGTCGAGACGAGGACAAGACCTCGTCGTGCGCGACAACGTCGAACTTTTCTCTTTTCAGATTCCCGAACGTCTCGCGCAAGAAAGTTTCCGTCGCTCGGCAAAGTAATATCAGCAATATCAGCAGCTCGAGGAAGCGTCGCGACGCCTACGTATTTACTACCAGCAATAAAGCACTTATACGAGGAGGATGAACCACTACGTTAATAATTCAAGTTTCACAGTCCTGCATTCATGCGTCGGCCAAATAGAAAATGAATATCGAGCAGCGTGAACTTTGACATTACAGAGTTCGATAGAATCGATAACGCAACTAAAAAAAAAAAAAAAGTACATGAATCCCAGTAAAAAAATTGCACTCCGACATTACAGACTTCAAGATTATCAATTCTGAGGGTATAAATAATTTTTTTTTTAATTTTCCCTTTTCTCGGCCATTACACAAAACTGGAGTGAACACTCGTACGAGGCATAATCACACCATATTAATAACGAATGTGCGAAATTAAGGTCCATACGGTATATAAAAAAAAAAAAAAAAAAAAAAAAAAAAAAGGATTGAAAGGATGGAACAAAAAAAAAGGACTTGACCTATTCATTGAAAGGGATAAACACGCCAAGCGCCATGAAAAGCGTTGAATTCCATACGAGTGAACTTTGACCTTACTGAGAAAAGGAATACGAGGGGTTTGGGTCGAAGTTCAAATTTCGCAAGATCGACGATCCCGTTATATCATTTAAACGTCAATGTCACTAATACTTAATTATTTTTCGTCATCTCTCATGTTACGTAAGATACAATGGACTTTATATACGAAATCGATACCACGAGACTGAGTGCTTTTCTGAAATCGGATGGCTGGTCGACTGGCAGTCCGGATGGACCCGACTAAGCGAGATTAGGTTCATGATCGATCATGAGCGCCGTGTATGAACGTGGGTGAGGTAAGGAAGACCGAGAACAAGGGAGAGCAGCTGTTGCGTGGAAATCAGCCGGAGCAGCCAGCGTTGGCTGCTGTTGCTGAGGTCGGTGCCCGTAGAATGAACGAAGAGGTTCTCAAATCAAACCGTACGTGTATACATATATATATTATTATATACTTTAGAATCTATATATATACATCATTGTAAAATATAGTGTATATATATATGTATATACTGTAGCTCAGAAACCAATCGAGAATCGATCGGCTGGAAGTCTTGTGTCTTCTGCCCCGGAATTGGAACGTAGAACGGCGTCGGTTTCTCATTATGGAACAAAGGAAGCAGCGCTTTGTAATACGTTGAGTAACGATCTTGGTGGTTGACGGAAGAGGATGTGAAATGCTTGTGGGATATTTTGCTGATGATCGGTGTAACATATGAGAGACACTGCTTCGGTATCAGAGAGAAATAAACAAATCGGACGTATCGTGAAGAGAAAAATTATCACTGTTTTTGGCTTCGTTTTATTTCTCAAAATAGGATTAATTAAGTCTTAATTGATTTTTATAAAATTTACTATGTTCAACCTATACCTGTGTTTGACCAATTATCAATTCAAACAATATTCTATATTTTATATGAGATTTATACTCCTGCAATGATTCGTGACACGAATTTGTGATTCTATGTGAAATTTGTATCAAACGAAGAAAACTGATAACGTGGATAAGAAGAAGGAAAAAAAGGTGAAACGCTACATTCTCTACGTACTTCTCGGGATTGCCGGTATATATGTGTATACTGTGACAGCGGCGATGTATCTGAAAAGCCAACCTTATCGATTTACGTAAATCCGTGACAGACGGAACGAGGAAAGTGAACCGAAACATATAATTTGATTCAAAGGATATCCGGGATTGGTAATAATTTAGGAACGACGTAGTTTTCGTAGGAAAATTGAAGAAATCCGATTGTCGTAGACTCGATAAAATGAAATTTATAAGTTAAGCAATTTTGTTGGGGCTTGGATGATCGATGATTTTTGAATTATGGCGCTGGCTGTTTATGTGCGGAGATGATGGAGAGGCTCGTCTTGTGGTATCATATATATATATATATATATATATATATTTCATGATTTTTTGTCGGACTTTATTTTTCTGACGTCTCACCTATTTTACGCTTTCGAAATATCGATCCTTCAGGCATTTCATTTTGGTATATTTTTTTTTCAAAAATTTGTATACCAGGCATGACTAAACAGTCGTTAGAAAACAGTACCTTGATGGATACGTCGAGTTGATACATTCTGCGAAATAGATTTACGTCACTACGAGCTAGACGGATATATGATTTCGCTTCGAATAAGCTCGTAGCTGTAGAGATTTTGCAGTGAAAATAAAAGGAAATAAAAACTAATGGAAAAAACAGGAATCTTAAAAAAATATATCTCTGCACTGACTGCGAACGCAGGTAAACGTACAAAAATTGGGTCGAGAAATTTTCATGGAAAAAAATGACGTTAAAAAAAATTTTGTTCCAGAGAATATACGTACGTATATAATTTATACGTACCGGTGAGAACAGCACCGACCAGCATGAAGAGGAAACCAAAAGCTGGCAGGGCGATTTGACAGTTGGCAGCAATGACAACACCGGCGACCATAAGACCACCCTCGATCTTTTCCACCCTTAGTCGTGATATCGGGGCTGGACATTTTAACCTTCCTCCAAATCCATTGGCCAGCATTCCTTCTTCGGCAGAGACTGTGCTGGGCCTGAAACGAATATAGGAGGGATTAGCAAGAAGCGTGTAAAATATATCCAATTGATTGTACTGACGTGATACACCAAAGATGCTAAATTTGATTTTGACCATTATTGCCTATTTTTCAAATTGCTAAATGGCTACGGCCTGTATAGATTCAAAATTCTCATTATCGACTCGACTCTAAAATACGTCATCAGACAGAAACTCGTCGCTTTAAAAATAAGTTAGTGTAAACTCTCGGGGCAAACAAATGATTTCTACAGTAAAACGTTAGTACAAATGAAAAAAAAAAAAAAAAAAAAAAAAAAAAAAAAAAAAAAAAAAAAAAAAAAAAAAAAATTGCACGTGAGTACTATTCAAGTATCGCGAAGAGACATTCACGTAGTACTTGTATCCGCTGAGTTTCAAAAACTGTAAAAAAAAAAACCGTCAAAAAAATCCCAAGCTCCACGTGATCCAAGCAGGAGAATATAAGAAAAGTACTTACACAGTCACCTGGGAATTCTCGTGACAATAAGATAAAATGGAGAGAAGGCTTTCGCGAGGTTTCGAGCAATAAATAAACTTGAAAAAAAAAAAGAGGGCTCAGCCGGGATTTGAACCCGGGACCTCTCGCACCCAAAGCGAGAATCATACCCCTAGACCACTGAGCCAAGATGATAAAAACTACAACTCTGGTGATAATATATTGATACCAATACATGGGTAAAAAATACACTACTGCCCCCTCAGTGAATAATAAGTCACAGTGATACAATATTAAAAGGAAGTGTGTCCTGGCATCTACTCTCCCAAGTGAAAGTGGCCAAAAATCACGTAGCTAACCAAGAGACTGGGCCTCCCGTCCTTTCTCAAGCAGCGATGGGGCAGCCAAAGCCCAAGTACGAGTTCTGGCCTCAACTTTGACTTCAAGCCTGAAGAATTGGCAGCTATAGAAGAATGCTATAAGCTCTATGATAAGAATGACTTAATAAGGATTTACAAAGAAGGTAATTATTGAAGATCAATCTCGCCGGGGCCGAAAACAGCGAAGATGCGAAAGACCGGCACCAATCCAGAGGTCGCCACAAGCAACCAATACGAGCAACTCTCAGATGACAGGGACACGAACACGGACTTTGAGAACTATCCAGAACTCCTGGAACTCTTTTTTTTTTTTGACTAACTTGAGTAACGATAAACAGAAATGAGACAAGCAATACGAGGAGAAAAGTTGAAGAAAAAGATAATTAGTTGGGAGTTCTGGGCAGTTCTCAAAGAGTTCTATCGATAATTCCTATGGCAAAAAGCTGAGAAATTAAAATTGAAAGAGTTCTGGCACTTTGAAGATTTTCCATCGCAAGTGGGGTTAATTTGAAAAAAAAAATAATCAAGAGTTCCGGGAGTTCTCAAAGAGTTCTACAAAACGAATACCTGGACTTGATTGATCCATCCAGTATTCTGGGGGTATCGGATTTTATACGATTGATTTTTTGAAATACTCTTTTCAACATGATTTTTTGACGAAATCTGGATATGTATTGTACCCAAAACCTATAGGGAACTGTAGAACTCTGTGAGAACTATTCGGAACACTAAAAAAAAAATACGATTTTCTAGAAGATTTTCTGACGTATTTTTTCAAACTTTATTTTGAAGCGGATAACGACCGGAACTATTGATGAAAAGTGCAGATAACTGTAGAACTATTGTTAATCTATTCAGAACTGCGAAAAAAATTACATTTTTTCAAAAATGGGGGGGTGCCGTGAAGTTGGCCCCCCATTTTCAAATATCGCAATTTTTTGCATTTAATCGACAGAACTATTTCTAAAAGCTATCAGGAACTCTAGAAGTCTTCCGGGGGGGGGAGCAGAACTCTAACTTTCTTTGATTAATTTTCATAATGAGGGGCCAACTTCACAGAGATCAAGAAATTCGATAAAAATTAATGCCAAGATTTTTTACAATAGAAACCTCGAGACGCCAAATTAATTTGCTATCAGCTGCTGGCGAGATCACTGATAACATATGCGGCTCCTGTGCTGTGGCATATGGGGCCTACAGTCATGGAAAAATTTAGCAGACTAGATCCATGCTGTCATGTGTCAGACTGTATAGAACCGCTGAAACCAGGAGAGAATCGGCAACGGAAAAATCTACAGGGAAGCCAATATCACTAGAATAGACTGTTTCTATTTGAAACTCTGCAGAAACTACTATTAAAGCTTCGGAAACATCGACAATCCGATAATGGACAATCTAGTGTGCCAAGACGAAGCAGAAAGCAGAAGCAAATGCCCGACAGGGCCAGTACAGCCCAAAAACGTGCATATCCTGTGACAAACAGGGAGTACTTCAAAATAAGTAAAATCTCCCTATCGTATACCACGAAAAAAAGACACTGTACCCACTAAAGAATCAACCTGAAATACGACGACTACGAAAACTTTATTTTCTCTACGGCACTCCCTAGAGTCGATGCCAATGGCAAACAGAGATTAACCAAAGAATACTGGTGGGTCAGAGAGCGATGCCAAACACCTTGACGAAATCCGACGGAGAATCATCAGGAAATAATAGACCCACGGGAAGAAAACTTACTATAGCTATCTGAATTAGGAGCCCATGCACAGTGTCATTGCTAATTAATATATTTAATTAATACATTAATAAGCATGTAAATATGTACATATGTAAATAAGCAACCCACCACAGACCCTTCCGACCAAACTCCAATATTCCTCCGGACCTTCTCTCAGAAGTGACAGATGTTTCAGTTGGTGAGATTTACCAATGGTAACCAACCAGCTTTAAGTACGATTACGGACAAGTCTCTTCGTTACGATGTTCAGGCTTAAGTAAAAATGTATATGAGATATTCTGGGTGAAATGAAAAACAAAAAAAAAAAAAAAAGGCAACCACTGAGCCAACGCATAGACTATACTTTCAAAAGAGTCCACGCGAAAGACAGGTACATAAATTTATCGTCAAATACTACGTTTCCGTAATACACAACCGCAACGACAAGAGGACTCGAGTCTAACGGTACTGCCTTACGACCTCCCACGTTCTCCCGTTCCTGATATGCTAGTGCGCAACGGTATCCTTATTATTAGAGTTCAAAGCCTACTTCCTGGCACAGCCTGCGAGAGCATAAACGGGTAGTAGGAAAAGGTGTAAAGTCGTACGAAGTTTGTTAGGCGAGTGAACGACAATTTAGCGAGCGAGCGAGCGAGTAGGTCGAGCGTCGCGACGCCCGTTAACCGACTATCGAATAAACACGTGCAATTGTAACGACTAAAAAAAAATCTTTATTTCCCAAACAGCACGAAACAGCCAATGAGCTCCGTACAGACCCGTTCAAAATGAATTTTCATCCGGCAAACGAAAACCAGCATGGCGTCAATTTTTACGCCGATTTTCCACGTAAATACAAAATAAACACTAAGAGACGCGATGCTCCGACCCAATGCTATGAATTACCATAACGAACTGCCTCTTCCCTTGAGACCACTAATTGGACATCTGTCGATAAACAGTATCTCGTATACTTCGGTGTCCAGCAAGCACTATAATTACCCAGGGCGCACCCGCAAAAGGTCCACCGTCGATATTGCCGATATCAACAAGATATAAATAGTCCAAACGTACAACGAAATATCCGTGTCTCTAGGAAGCAGTCAGACTAAACGTTCAGCCTGACCGTTGACCCTTAAGGAATTCGTCGACTGCTGCCGACTGTACCAACGATACTGTACCACTGCACGAGAGCAAGGCTGTGCCAGTAGGTACAGTTACGTAAGAATTCCTCGACCTTTCAATGCTACTGCTATTTCAAAGCAAACAGATTGCACACGGGTAGATTCGTTAATTTACACGTTTAAATTCGCTCCCGGAGTATATAAAAATTTAAAGCCTGACTTTCCATCCGCGTTAAGCTCCCGAGGCTTTAAGCCAACCGGCAACTTAATTAGCGTCGAGCTACCCGCCATTAAGCTCACTGCAGTTCACATTCTCAAGTTCTGCGCGCACAATAAAAGGGGGTACGTCTCGTTAAAAGTAATTCGCATCAGAAAATACATCGATACCTAAAACCCTATCATTCCCAGTATATACATATATACACAGTAAACAGATGTACCGTACAACAAATAAATAAAAGCTGGTACCAAGCGAAAGCATTTCTTACATATTTATTTTCTCCCCAAACTCCTTAAAACCACCATTTAAGTCTGATAGTTCGTCGAATCGAGAGGATAAGAAAATAATACGTATCTGTGAAAACTATAAGACGGCGGATGGTAATACGGACCGAAGAGGCTGAGCTGATAAAAATAAAAGGACCGGTAAGATTACGTAGGCGGCTTTTATGTATTGGTGTTAGGTAACGAGGTGGTGATGAGGTGGGGTGGGGAGGGGGGACGGCGTCAGGGAAGATTCGAAATTAAAGTGGGAAATCGTGCCTGATTATCATCTTATTCAGTCCTTAGGATTTTATCTTTGAACAATGGGTCCTGGAGTCTTCTGGTACTTTAGGCTTTGGTCTGCCTTAGGGGGGATTAACCATAGAAGACAGAATGACAAATCCCCTTTTGTACTTCTTGGGTCCATCGTTATTTCCTTTTATAATTCTTCCCCCTCTCTCTCTCTCTCTCTCTCTCAAACGCAATTCTCTCATCTTCCCCTGTTAACTTCAGCGCAATTAAATTAGACGCAACACGCGAGCCTAAGGTCTCGTAAATTTATTTTTCGTTTTCACGACGAAATATATCCTAGCTCAGGAAATTCAACGATCAAGACTCCCTGGCACGTTTATGATGGAATCAAATATTGAACGACGTCCGAACGTCGAGTTTAAGGTCTATGGAAGGAAATTTTATCAGGTTTAAAATATATATATATATATATACACGAGCACGAATTGCACGTGAGATAAGTACATAAGATAAAAATATAAATAATAACAACAAAAATAACGCGTCGTTACCACGAGAAACGTCGTAATGATAAACGCAAGTGATAATAATGACGCGCCGGGTGCTTCTGGGTGGAAAAAGGAAAAATTACCCAAAAAAAAAAAAAAAAGTGCGCGCATGTGAACTGTACGTAACTCACCAGAATTTCAATAAGCTGTCACGACTGTCAACGCGCTGCATATTTATCCAGGATAGTCGTCGATCTTTCCGAAAGAGAATTAAAAAAAAAATCCAAAATTGCCAACAAAACGAAAATACACGTCCCCGAGCTTGTCTTTGCCTTCGAAGCCAACGGGTAACCGCGAAAATTACGAAATAGAGTAACGTGTTTGGAAGAAAAAAAAAAAGAAAAAAACTAAAACTATATAAAATCCAAAATTCACATTCGACACTGCAAAACGGCAAGTTTCTTTGACCTCGCACGAGTAATCTTCCTACTCGTGCGAAATCTGCGCGACAATTAAAAGTTTCCAGCAATCATCGTTCTCGGTTCATGACAATACGATAAGACGATCAAACTCAATGGCGCCACATGGCTGCTTGTCTTTTCTGCTTTTGGGTGGTGCACCGTGACTATCACGTATACAGGGTGTGTAAATCAATACGTATATACGCATACACCAACGTGTAAATTACATGAAAAGAGGGAAGGGACGACGCTTTCTCGATAATAAATTAGCGAAATGTTTCACGAGTGCGAAAACATTAATGGCGCCAATACGTATATCCCTGTATGTATATATATATATATATATATATATATATTGCGAGTCTAATTGTAAGAGATACAAATATTCAGGTCTACATGGATACATATATGTATACAGGAGGTAGATAACCAATAGGGACCCGCAGCGTACGAATTTTAATTTTGATTTACGTAGTGCCCTCCCACTCCACCCTGTTGCTCTGCGAGTAAACAATAATTGGTTGAGGAGGATGAGGAGGACCCCCGGGGGGGGGGGCCC